TAACTCCTAAAACACTACTGCTTTTGAGAAAAATTGAATATAAAAATTTGCTGGTGCATGCTCTCCCATAGGAAAGAAATGAGCCTGCCGCATACTCCTGCGGCAGACTTGCTGCAGATGTGCCGCAGACCTGCCGCAGACAGTCATCTTTTTCACAGGCAAATTAGTTTTGCCGCAGACTTGCCGCATACTCCTTCAGTATGATGAAGAGTCTGCGGCAGGTCTGCCGCAGACTTGCCACAGACTTGCCGCATACTCTTTCAGTATGGTGAAGAGTCTGCGGCAGGTCTGCCGCATACTCTTTCAGTTTGATGAAGAGTCTGTGGCAGGTCTGCCGCAGACTTGCCGCATACTTTTTCAGTATGATGAAGAGTCTGCGGCAGGTCTGTCGCAGACTTGCCGCATACTCTTTCAGTTTGATGAAGAGTCTGCGGCAGGTCTGCCGCAGACTTGCCGCAGACTTGCCGCATACTCTTTCAGTATGATGAAGAGTCTGCGGCAGGTCTGCCGCAGACTCCTTTATTATGAATATTCATAGAAAAGGCTAAGTACTGTTGCAGACCTGCCGCAGACTCTTCATCATGAATATTCATATCTCATATAGACCTGCTGCAGACCTGCCGCATACTCTTTCATATCCAGTACGTGGCAATTTAGTATGCAGTCTTGCAGGAAGGCTATATGCTGGAGAGCATGCATAATTGCATCATTACATTCTAGCACCTAATTAGTAGAAACAGCTAAAATAGCTGGAATTGCTTCAACAATTCTACAAATATGGGTTTAACACAATGCAGAAGTAGAGGAAGAGGAATAGGAATACAATAACTGCATACACATAGCCCAGAGTAGAGTCACAGATCCATATGTGCTAGTTACAACAAAAAAGTGAGTTAGTGGGGCTGAAGATAAGATCACATATGGCACAACAAAAAAGTTTGAAATGGTCCGTTAATTCCTCAGTCTCCTCTTATGTAATAAATTCCTCTTATGGTACCAGTTGAACTTGAAGCAAATTGTTTGGTTTGACAGAAGATAAAAAGACAATTAGTGCTAATTAACACAGGAATTTACAAGATCATGGGCTCAGTCTGCAACCTCATGGCCCTGCATGGTCCTCCAAAATGGCCGCCTATAGCCTTGCTTCAGACTGTATAATTTCCCACTTTTCTGTGGCAGACTTGCCGCAGACTGTTCCTGTGGCATACTGGTATGCGGCAAGTCTGGAGCAAAGTTTCGCCCTGCCGCAGATCTGCCGCAGACTGTTCCTGTGGCATACTAGTATGCGGCAAGTCTGGAGCAAAGTTTCATCCTGCCGCAGATCTGCCGCAGACTGTTCCTGTGGCATACTAGTATGCGGCAAGTCTAGAGTAAAGTTTCATCCTGCCGCAGATCTGCCGCAGACTGTTCCTGTGGCATACTAGTATGCAGCAAGTCTGGAGCAAAGTTTCATCCTGCCGCAGATCTGCCGCAGACTGTTCCTGTGGCATACTAGTATGCAGCAAGTCTGTAGCAAAATTTCATCCTGCCGCAGATCTGCCGCAGACTGTTCCTGTGGCATACTGGTATGCGGTAAGTTTGCAGCAAAATTTATTTCTGCCGCATACTTCGGCATACTCTTTGCCGCAGACTAAAAGTCTGCGGCAGGTCTGCGGCAGCTCTGCGGCATACTTTTCACTTTCCTATGGGCTGGGTAAATTTTGATAAGTTTCAAATAGCGCCTACGGCCGTAAAATGGTAGACCATGAAAATCTCAGAATATGTAGTTGTGATATGTAATTTCCAAACGGGATTTGCTAATTGGTCAATTTTAGTAGTAATATCATGACCTTGAGAGGGAGCTATACAACATAAAGAGTTTATTTATTTACAATTTCATAACTTTAGACTCGATTTCAACCGCGACAACGATCACCGAATATTGTAGGATCGCATATGCTTCCAATATGTTCATTTGAACCAAATTCATGACCCCATACCAAAACTATGTATTACCTTTAATGAAACAATTTTAACTGAGCTAGATCTCCTTCACTGCCTACGACAAGCTGCTAAATGACCAGATACCACGTTAAAGTGAATCAAAGAATATCAAAATTGTAAAGAATCACTATCCACCCAATGTTCAAAATTTCTCAAAACTTTGTATTACCTTTTGGTAATAAAGACAATGTGCTGGACTGCTGTATTTTCACTGATGACGTACATTGGTTTCTTGCAGAAAGCAATGTTGTAAAATTTGATTTCATAATGTGATTTAATTTACAGTTTATGGAGAAATCGTAGGGACTCAAAAAGCAAAAGGGAAGGGTAGGGCAAGACTTCTTTTCCCTATTTATGATGTAATTCTAAGTTTTAAAGGACAAGTCCACTCGAAAAATAACTTACTTTCCATAAAAGCAGAAAAATCAGACAAACCAATCAAAAAAAGTTTGAACAAAATTGGATAACTGATAACAAAGTTATGAATTTTTGAAAAAGTATGTAAAACTATGGAACAATGAGAATCACAACACAAATTGCCAAGATGGTTATCATTTGTGACGTCATGTCCTCACTATTTATCAATTGCTCTATATGGTTTAATCCCATTAATTTCCCTTTTTATTCCCCAAAACTTGATTTCCCCAAGCCTTTGCCCAGATTATATGATTTGTATCATATTGCGTGCATGACATTTCACAAAATCTTTTATGAACTTTGAAGAATTTATACTATTTTCTGAATATTGTATTTTCATAATTATTGATTTTTATATAATTAGTTTATCAAAAATTCACATTTTTCATGATTTAACAGGAAAAAATTACTCTATATTAGTGCATCCACACAAAAACATATTACTATTAATCTACCTTGGATGCTGGTGTGAAGAAATAAGATTCTTAAGTAGAAAATAGGAAATTTATATCATCAATATAAAGAAAATAATTAGTGGATAGTGAGGACATGATGTCACAGACTCATGAGTGAGTTGTCAATTTGTCTAGTAATTTTCAAAGTTTTTAATGTCATTAAAAATTCATAACTTTCCTATTGTTTATCCGATTTTGCTCAGACTTTTTTTGATTGGCTAGTCTGATATTTCTGCTTCTATTGAAAGTAAGTTATTTTTGGCGTGGACTTAGGCTTTAATGTTTAGAAAGCATACACCTTCTTATGGTATTAAATATGTTAATTCTTCATGAAAAACACACCAGATAAGATGTATTCAAGCAGCTAGCCACATGCATACTCAGATATTTCGTTATTCTAGCACATTGTTGCCTGGATAAGAAGAGGTCACAGTTGCCCAATATATTGATTAGTTCAACATATACAGGGCAGCTGCAACCCCTTCCCCCTCTCCATTACGCCCTCACCCATACTCATCGTAAGACTTTGGGTGCGGGATGTGGGTGGAAGTTATGATTCCTACCTTTAAGTATCTCTAGAGAGTGATACCAGCTTATCATTTGAATCTACGAGTTTAATTATGTAACACATGGCTTGTTAATCAATTTATTATATGAAATATATAATTGAGGTAAATTTTCAAGGCTAGTGAGAGGGGGGGGGGGGGAGACATTGACAAACTTCCCATGCAATTTTAACCATTAGCTTTAAAGTGTATTGTGAAGATGAAAACTGGACCAATTCTTTTATTGCAATGTACTTTATGAACACTGATAATGTATATGTATAGAAGATGTACAAGACGTTGAGGTGGTGATAAGTTAGCATGTGGTGCATGGTGAAGAATTAATATTCCAAATTATCGGTAGAAAATGTAAATAGTGCTGAGGTGGTGCAAAGTTAGCATGACATTATGAATATTAATATTTCAGTTTATCCATAGGAAATCTACATGATACTGAAAGGGTGAAGGATTATATCTGTAGAAAACACATGTATATACAAGCAGTGACTTGGTCAATAGTTTGTGATTTGGTGAAGAGTCAATAATCATATGCCACTTTTCCCATAGAAAATGTACATGATTTGCTTATGGTGAAGGGGTTGCATTTCAAAGATAATTTTAGCTTAATGTTCATACATGTATAAGATGTATTATTCAATTTTTTATTACATAGGTCATAGAATAATAATAGTTATTTTTACCCCTTAGTTCAGTGTTTTACCCCCCCCCCCCCCTCCTCCTCCCCCGCTTATATTCATCATGCTCATTTTGATTGGTATTAATAGTAGTTAGCTGATTTTCGTTTTTGTTGAAAGGCAAAACTTGATTCCAGTTTAGTTAGACATTCATACCGGTATACATATACTATGAAGAAAAAAAATTAGTTAGTAGAGATGTGTTAGATGAAAATGATATAAGGGCATGATCGCAGTTGGTCATAAATATGTTTTTTATATTAATATTATTTAATTGAAAACAGCAGAAGATAACATTAAAAGGTTTCCAAAGTCAGATACCAAATATTTAAAACATAGACCAAAGTATTGGAAATGCCTTTTTAAAATTGTCATACCGTACATGTATATTGTAAACCTTGTTCATTACATAGAAAATTACATACCGGTATTGCTTAGTTGTTGAACTATAGTATTTTGAATAAATATCACATTGATTTTGCTGATGCTATTTACAACAGTCTACTGACTTCATTCTCATTTTGTCTATATTTAGAAGAAACCCTGGAACCAACAGTGAACTATATTGTTAAACAATTGTGTTTTAGAATCATGAAAATAATAACAAATTGACTCAATCAGATCTTGCTGAAAAACAAAGATACTGAAAGGCACTGTATACAAATATGGATACATGGGACTAACTTGTGGCAACAGAATTTTGACCCCAAAAGTCACTATTTCTGGTAGTTATTGGAAACAGAGGGCATGTGTGAACAAGCCTAATTGTAAAGGTGATATGGAAGCTTTGCAATCGATCGCGTTTCTATACATTGACTGCTGCGTATGATCTACACTAACAGCTATCATACTTTATTTGTAAAACTCTACCTTTTAAATGAAAAGTCAGTAAACTGTTTTCTTACCAGTGCATATCCAGGAAGAAGAGATGATTACCCCCTATGAGGTTCAGGCCAACCCTGCCAGCCTTCAAAGAAACCAGCATGACCTCTCGACCCCTGGGGTTGTTATTAAAGTCATCCATCGCCTCACTTCGTTTCTTGGGTGGGATTGCACGACGGATACTCCAGTACTCAAAGCCTGCCCAGCTGAGGTGACTAGCTACCACATCCAGCATTTCAGTGAATTGGGAGACGATGACGCTCTTCATGGGGCTGTCTGCAGGACCCTCGTCATGGATCTCCTCCAGTTGATCGATCACAAACTTGATCTTTACAAAGAGAGGCACATATATGGTAATATTAATAGTTACAAAGGCACACATTTAATGCTGGTCATGGCATGAAACAATTTAAGTTATAGCATCATAACATATATAACAATCACCCCCCCCCCCCCCTCAAATAAAGAAGCTTTTGTGATATTTCTAGTAGAATTCTTACAGTCATAAGCTGCTGCAATTATCCATCCCTTTTTGGGAGTAATAATCAAATTAATCTATGGTTCTGCAGTGAACAGGTCACAGGTTAAAGTACAGTCTGTCTGCTTGTACCCTTTGGTAAGGCATTAATCCGCAATTACCAAGTCCCTAGATAAACCCTAGCTGTATATAAGCCCCTTTACAGCTTAAATGTGCATGCTTTCCTCACTTGCAATCAAATATCATAAATATTAACATGAAATAAAGATTTCAAACCCTGGTACTTGAGAAGCTGGGATCATACATGATTATCTTTGGTTTGACTTGACCTGACCCCTAGTTATCCTCACCCTGATCTATTTTCGACCTTATTATTCTAAACTGACCAACCATTGAGTTTAATATTCTTAACTGACCTTTGTACTTAAGAAGCTGGGTTGGTAACTAGGCTGGACCAAACTAAGATGACCACAGCATTGCATCAAGTGTTGCAGGATGATCAGGGTTTTAGGTGTGGATCTGGAGTTGGCATGGTGGAGATAGGGAAGAAATGCTACATGATAATAAGTATATCATAAATATCTCTGGGCCAATGTTCAGAAAACCTTACTATTAAAGCTAGTTGTCAACTAATTACATATGCTGTAGTACATAGTTAGTTGACAAAAAGGCATAGTAAGGTTTTATGAATATGGGCCCTGCTGTCTATCTAAAATTGTTTTAATCAAGAAAAGATGCATCTCAAATTCCAGATATAAAGATTCCAAACGGAAAATGAAACAAATTGTCCACTATTACTCTTATGATATGATTTAGTAGGATCCACAAGTAAGGATATGTTCACAGTAATCATATTCCTAACTTCAACCTTGGAGCCAACACTCTACCTAACCTATATGCCTATACCTTATAAAAACCCAAGCCATAATCTTCTATCATTGACCAAAAAAAAAAACTACACTAGAGTTGAGGAGCAAAAATTGATAACCGAATGTGGATGCATTGCCTATTTGAAGATATTGCATTCTGGATAATTTAATTAAATTTAAAATGATGTATTTAAAATGAAACAATCAGGCGTCGCACTTAAATGTTAAATTGCGCATGATTTAAAATCAAAATGATATAAATAACAAGAAACACAATCATATGTTCAAAAGAAATATTTATATAAATGATGGTAACAAATGTCATATAATAGTAAATCATGTGTAGAAATGAAAGAAAAATACATTACAGAGAAAAATATATACGTGGCCCACACAATAACATAATTTTTTTCACAAACATACTACAAAGGATACAGGCAGAGTGCTAATTTTATGATGGGGTTAACTATGAAGAAAATCAAAATGATATAAATAACAAGAAAAACAATCATATGTTCAATAGAAATATTTATATAAATGATGGTAAAAAATGTCATATAATAGTCAATCATGTGTAGAAATGAAATAAAAATACATTACAGAGAAAAATATATATGTGGCCCACATGACGAAAATTCGTCGTTTAAAATTGAAACCCCCATTTGACTTTCACTACTCCTAGAGCTAAGCCTAAAGTAAACACTAGCGCTAGGCAATGTAATCCCCCTGCCGAGACCTTGGCGAGGTGAGAGAGGGAGAGAGAGATAAGCATGATAGAGGGAGATAGGAAGGGAGAAAGAGTGCTAATTTTCACAATTAAAATTGTTGTTATATCGCCGATTCTGAGTCATTTTGCTTCGTTTGAACTTTTATTATAGTCTTCATCTAATTTATAAGTGACTGTTGGACATGAAAATATCTTAAAACAAGTAAAAAAATATATTTCCTACTTCTCATTTCCTGTCAGGCAGAGCCCCAGTAAGAGTTTGTTTACCCTAGTATTACGGAAGATGATGAAGACTCGCCAGCTGCGATCCAATATCATAATCTCTCACGCAGAGCTAGCCTCAAGGGCTCTGTCCAAGTTTTTAACGAGAGAAACAAAATTGGGGTAGTGGCACCCCATCAGAATTACATTGGTGCCTGTGTTATGTAGCTCTTTCAAAGTTTTAACGAGACAAACGAAATTGGGGTTCTGGCACCCCACCAGATTACATTGATTCCTGTGTTAAAGTGGTGGGGTATAGTTTTAACGAGAGCTTTTCGTAATGCACACAATAACATAATTTTTTTCACAAACATACTACAAAGGTTACAGGCAGAGTGCTAATATTATGATGGGGGTAACTATGAAGAAAACTAGATGGATCAATCCTCGACTGCACGCAGCTGAAAATGATGCCTCCGCCATAGAGCAATTTTACAAACCAAAACAGAAGCAATTTTCAAAATTCAAGTTTGATTGTAATCCATTTACAGGTTCTCAAAATATTGTACTTATACAAGCTATTTTTTATGATGTACAGCTTATTGAGGTATTTGTTTTAAAAAAGCATGGTATATATAGAGAAGTACAAGCTGAAAATGAGATAAGGAATAATGATTTGACCTGCCTGTCAGCTTAGAGTCGTCTTTCACCAGAAATCAAAACTGCATTTTACTGTGGTTATTACCTGTATTGCTGGACGACCTGATCATAGATCTCTCTCTCTTCACTCGACAGAGATATGTTGTGTATCTCAGGCAGAGAAACCTAAACAACAAAACAAGGAAGGTTAATATATACTAATTAAGTAGCATTTATAGCAATCCTCTTAGGATGAACCATTTCAAGATTAAAAATTATAGCTTAAAGCCCCTTGATTAATTTGCTTCATCAGATGATCTGTTACATAATAATTTGCAGCATTTAACATAACAAATATGCGCATCAGCACAGTATGCTGGTATTATCTTAGTACCTAATTATGCTTCAGGTTTTATCTGATCAACATTAAAGTATATATGATGACAAGAATAATGCCTAAGATCTCCATACATCTTCCTGCATGCCATCATGACATATGGTGTGTCATGAAAAGGACACACCCTAATCACACGTCAGTAATTGCAATGTATATGTGCCATACTTTCATTTGTTAATCCTTTCATGATAGGATATATTTTTAAAGCTAAATTAATATCAAATTGTTCTTCAAATTAGCAACAGTAATATTTTTCTTTTATTGCGAAATTGTTATTGTACATTGTTATTGAAATTGTTAAAATACAATGTAATTTTTATGAAAACGATATATGGGTAAGAATGTTGTCTAAAATTTGAAAGAATTGCCAATTTTGATTGAAAAACAATAAATTTGGATCTCTCAATGATTTTTCAATTCAAGGATTTTAAAGATTATTTTCCTTTTAAAAATTCCTGGCATCAAACGCAATAAAGTAATGGAACAAAAACGGATGCAGTGTGTGCAGAAATGTTTGCTCTTTCTTATCCTGCATCTAGCATGTTTTGTAAGGCTCTGAATCAATCAAAAGTTATAGAGCCAAACCACAACATGTGGAATAAGGTTTATGATGGCCGGGTTCCAAAATATTTTCTGGAAGTCATTTCTAGGATTTTGTAAAAACACTGGACACATGCTACATCTGTTCATAAAACAATGAAAATGCGTACAATTCAAGGATGATTGATATTTTTGGAGTCGTTACTACTCACGATTGGATTCCCATTGCTTGTCTGTTGGTCCTTGGTTCTCCATAAGATACCCTTGACCAGTGTATGAAGTTTCTCTGATGTATCACAATTGCACCATAAGAATTTTAAAAAGGAAAACAAACAAAAACGGTTACGAGGTCTCTTTTTTTAATATGGAAATAATTTCAATCACTTCCATTTCATTTCATTTCATTTTAGTATCATTACCGGTATTTGTCAAAACAAAACAAACAATGTATTAATTAAACCACTTCAGGTTTACATTGTCCTAATATAAATGTACCAAAAAAAGCTTGAGATTCATCTAATTTATTGCCAATTTAGTAAAGTATTAAAGCACTATGGTTACACATTTTGGCATTTGAAGTTATTGATCACATCTTTAAAAAATGAGCTCAGTACTTACCTGTATTTGTTACTAGTTTCTTCCACACCGGATATTCAGCATAGGGTGTAAATCTCAAGAATCTAATCAATACAAACAAATGTAGCTGCTAAAAGATGTTGTGATGGCATTTACTACAAACAAATTTCTATTCTGTGAAACCATATAACTTGGACTGGAAGTGGAGGTGACAAAGGAAACAATATCTAAGATATTCATAGCAATATGAAATATATTTTTTATTTCATTATAAACAGATGAAAAAATATCCTGCATTTGGGGCATACACATGTATGTGCGCCAGATCAATAATCTTGGATCTGTCACTGCTGCACTTCAAGTCTGATTTTTTTTTCTTCAATTGCTGTAAATAAGCGTATTTTATCGGCGGCTTGGCTGGAACCAATAAAACATTTAAGAGCAATATACCTGAAAAATGAGAACATTTCTAGGGTGTTGTTCTGGATCGGGTAAGCTATGACAGCCCATCGTGCACGGGCCTCTAGCTTAGAGATCAAGATGGCTGTCTCGGTCTTATGATTCTTGATGTCATGGGCTTCATCCAAGATGATGCGATCCCAGCACACACGCAGGAGGGCTGGCTGATTTCCCTGTTAAGAATGACAGCAAAGTCTTTATTACATTGATGCAAGAGTCTTGCAATCGCATGAACATACAAATGATTTGAATAGAAATGCCTTGTAAGACATACTTCCTGTGCTGCAACAATCATTTGATAGAAATGAAATGAAGGAATCCTATACAGTGCAATCCTACAGTACCGACGATGCTTTCTTGCACAGCACATATATCCACTATGTATAAGCCACCATATGGTTTATTTTGGTGAAACACATATTTTTGGAAGACTGCAGGTAGTTAAGAACTTGTCGCATTTGACCGTTTGCCCTTGATTTCAGTGTATCTACTCCTTCTGTTTCTAAATAGATCAAATCCTTAAGCTCTTACCCTCACCGCTTCCGTATTAAGATCTGTCCAAACCATCCTATAGCTCATGAAGACCATGTCATACTTGGCCAGTTCCTCTGGCCACCTCTCCCGATCTGTTCCACGGTACAGATAAATGTTTAGTTGGCCAGGATTGCAACAGCGTTCAACCTCTTCGGCCCACTGGTCAATAAGGGATGCCGGGCATATCACCAGAGTACAGGAGGATCGTATGAACGTGTATTCTGATTTTTATAAAAAGATAGTAAGATAAGCAAATATTACAACCATTTTTTATCCACAATTATACCTCATCTAGCCTGTGCGATCAGACTTTCTCTTTCCCTCTGTCTCATTTTTCTACCAATGGCGCTACCAACGGAAAGATATACAGCACCATCTTGGGTGGGCAGAAGCAAAAAAAACCTCATCCTAAATCTTCATTTGGCACAATAATAACGAATAACACTTCGATGAGAATGGACATGGCGCTCTCTTCAGCCACCGCCCTTTTATTCACCCAACAGCCCTTATTCGAGCTTCAGCGTTTCTGCTTTAAGGCTTTTACTGATCCACGTGGGATATTTATATCTAAGAATCTCATTCCACATTAGAAGCAGGATAACGTACGTATCATGAATTTTGAAGGAAATGGCTTCCAGGGCTCTACGCTCATCTGTATATAAGCACAAACGGACCTGCCCAATCTACCGACCCTCAAGGTGCAAGTACTACGAGAGGTGCCAGCAAGCCAGGGCCAAGTGAGCCGCTACGCCAGCTAGCAGAACCCGAATTGATGCTTGCCAACATCCAGCGTTTGATAACCGCGAGCTCATCAGCTGCAGTATGTGCAAAACTGGACTTATACTCACAGCTGATGTGGCCTCCATCAAGCGCAGGCAAACCGAACTCGAGGATTCTGTTAGCATGAATTCTGATTTGGTTGCCAATCTTCAGCATGTAAAGCTCCCCGCGATTGAAAAGAAAATAAGAGAAAAATTGCCGACCTCAAAGAGAAGATTGTCATTATGGAAATCTATAATTGGCGCGCCAATCTTCTATTTTACGGCGCTGATGAAACCCCCAACGAAAAAGTATGCAACGTCTTGCAATTAAAAGGTCTTCATCGGAATGAAAGACATCGCAATCGCTATTAAACGCGCACCGACTACCACGACGTAACAGCGGCGCTACCGCCTCATCGACCCTCCCACAAGCCCCAAATGCAATCATAGCAAAGTTTGTTTACATGGAGGATCTTAACTGCCTACTCGCCGCTTTCAAAAACGATCAGCACCAAAGGAACCCCTAAGATCATGCCATGTCAATGAGAATCAATGTGCGAACAGACTCCCCAGCCCTCAAAGCCAGGCGGGTAATGCTTGCCAAGATCACTTACGATCTCCGGAAACAAAAGGGAGTCTCCGCTAAGATAATCGTTGTCGGAGCTTCAGTTCAACTCATATGGAAGGAGAAAAGAAACACCTCCAAATGGAATAACCAGCAGGAGTAAGGTAAATCACCTCAGCATTGAGGTAAAACACCTCAGCATTGAACAAAAGTTACGGCATTATTCATTTTTGTACCTTCTCTAGAATGAGCTCTGTGTGATATACATGTACATCTATCTTTTCCCTGTTTAAACTTAAATGCATCGAAAACTGATTTGTTATTTTGAAGTAAGCAGGCCTCAAGCACACATTTTCAAGAGTTAAGTTTTGATTACCATGTAAACATAACCCGGTACCGTAAAAGTGGTATCTCGCTCTTCCCCTCTCTCTTTCTCTCTCTCTCTCTTTACCTTTTCCTGAATTCTCTAATTTCTTCTACGTGTGGTGGCTGAAAGGATCCCAAGTGCTAAATGATGAATTTTCTTGTTTTTATTTATTATCTGTGTTTTCTCTTGATCTTATTTCCAATGAATGCATACGTATGTACAAATTGATTCAGTTAACTTCCTTTTCAGTGCATTGGGTAATACATTCTATTGCAAGCTAATTCTTTTAAACAACAAATGTCATATTATGAACCAGGCCTTTTGTGTATTTACACCACCTGAATGATCTTCTTTCCTATTCTTGTTACTTCATGTTTTAATAATGAGTGAACCTCTATTATCTGATGTTGGTAATGATGAACAATTTTTACCACCTGACAATTCACAGGCATCCTCCTCTTACATAACAAATACAGATGACGATTGTCATGAAGCTGACACGGCTGAATATTTCAATTTAAACACTGCCGAGTTGCAACTGAAACACAAATTCATGTGAGTCATTGACAGATAGCAAACATTCACACTATTTTAACAGAATCTCAGTTCATTGATCATTTTTCAAAGGCTGACAATAAACTATCTTTCCTACAATGCAATTGGAAGCATATTTATAGAGATAGAGGTAAGAAACATATCGTTATTGGTGAAATCTACTGGCCACCTCAAAGTAATTTTATTGAATTTCTTGAAATTGCAGAGACTACAATAAGTGCTTTATAATGGGTGACTTTAATGCCAACTTGTTATCAAGTGACTCAAATTCTCAGTATTTAGATTTCTTGAATTTGATTTTATCCCGTTCTTTTCTTTCCCAAATCACCAAATCAAAAAGAATATTAGATACATGTATATAGTAGTCACAATTGATTGATAAAATGTTCCAAATGTATCTTCTAATATTGAATCTGGTATAGTGCTTTCCACTTCCCAGTTGCTTTCATTCAAAGAGTAGCTCCAGCAATCAGGTGTCGGGTTTTTCGTAATTTGTCCCATGTGAACATCGAATGGTTTTGACAGAGTTTTCTCTATACTGATTGGTCTGAAATATATAATTGTCGGAATGTAAACAATTTTTATAATAGGTTTCTTGAAATTGTTTATGATTGATACAAACTGTATATTCCGATCTGTATTCCATTGCGTTCTAATTACAAAAAGGTGCCCAGACTGCCCTGGGTCACTAAATCTATTTTGAAGTGTATTAAACCATCAACAACAACAAAATTATTCTATAAGTATAAAACAAAAGAAACTGAGAACTCTAAATTGAAATACATTAGATATCATAATATTCTTACATCCTTCGAGACATGCTAAAAAATTATTATTCTTCACAATTAAATTTATATAAAAATTATATTAAAATATGTGGAAGATTATTAATAATGTCCTGAGAAGTAAAACTAATACTATACATATAGAGAGTGTAATTGATGAGTGTGTGAAGATTCAAGACTCTTGTGATTTAGCTGAATCTTGAATTCTTTTTTTGTTCAAACAGGGACAAAGCTAACTGAGAAAATACCCACATCTGGTAGACCCTTTCATTCATTTCTCAAAAATTCCAACCAGAGTTCATTATTTTTTAACTCCAACAGACTGTTCTGAAATAATTAATATTGTCAATAATTTTAAGAATAAAAATAGTGCACGTGCTGATGGCATAACTAATTTTCTTTTTAAAAAGGTAATCAGTGTGATTGCCCATCCTCTTTCTCATATTTTAAATTTATCTTTACTACATGTGGTATTATACAGTAGGCTTGCGCTTGCACCATGTGAGAGAGGGGTATTGTACCTCAAAAAAATGAAAATTGCAAAGGTAGTTCCTATATTCTAATCTGGTATTAAATATGACTTGGGTAATTTTCGCCCAATTTCCTTACTTTCGTCGTTTTCTAAAATCTTATAAAAGCTTTTATATATTCGTACCTTTAAATTCATATCTAAATTTAATATCTTATCATCATCGCAATATGGTTTCCGACGTAAACACTCCACAACTCATGCATTGCTCATGTTCATTATAAGATTGCACGTGCTATTGATAATATATCCCATACTATTGGTATTTTCCTGGTATTTTCCTGGACTTCTCCAAGGCCTTTGACACAGTTAACCATGACATTCTTTTATATGGGATCAGAGGGAAGGCCTTGGAGTGGTTCAGGAATTACCTCACAGACAGAATGCAATATGTTAATCTAAATGATCATGATTCATGTCTACGACAAATCACTTGTTGGACCGCTCTTGTTTCTATTTTACATTAATGATTTCCAAACTTCCTCCCCTATTTTGTCATTCATACTTTTTGCTGATGATTCCAATATTTTTTTTACTCATCCAAATCCCAGTATCATTGCTGACATTGTAAACAATGAATTACTGTCTGTTTTGGAGTAGATTAATGCCAATAAGTTATCTCTTAATGTTACTAAAACAAACTATATGCTATTTAGTATCTCCATAACATCAATACCTGGAAACATTTCCATTAATGACACAAACATTTTATTTGTTGAACCCGCAAAATTTCTTGGTCTTGTTATTGACTGTAAACTTAATTGGAAAATGCATGTTAGCAATTTATGAAAACTTTTATCACAAAATAATGGTGTCATCAACAGACTTAAACACAGACTCTTGATGTTCTGTTAAATCTATATTCCACCTTAATTTTCCCATATTTAAATTACAGTATTCTAGCTTGGAGCAACTGCTCCAAGACTCAACTGCATAGTTTATCGGTCATTCAAAAAAGAGCCCGGACAATAATTCAAAATGTTGGTTTCCAGTCACATTCAAACATCTTATTTCTCAACAATAACCTTTTACATGTGTCAGATATATTCTCTATAATCTGGGTATTTTCATGCCTGTATCAACATACAACAA